ACCCTGAAAACTGCCCCAAATCGGGTGGTTTTTGCTGAAAATGACCCCAAAGGGATGCTGAACAACCAAGCAGCAGCCAGTTGGGGATCAATGCACTGAAAACGGGAAAAACGTGCATAAAAAGCCAGATAAATAAAGTGTGTGTCGTACATCGATGGGTGATGAACGGTCGCCCTGAGGAGGGCGATTTTTCGAAACTTTTCAGAGATTTGGGGCTTAGGTGATTGCGCGGGGCTTTGGGCAGACAGTTGCCTCAAAAAATCCCGGCAGTGCACTCAAAAGAGGAAAAATCGTCCAATATTTACGAAAACGAAGTTTTCAAGCGTTTGCTTGCAACCGCCCGGAAGAAACGCCGCTGGCAGCCTTATGAGGCGTTTTTTCGAAAAACTCATCAGAAGGTTTTTTGTAGGGCTTGAACCCAGCTATCCAGTGGCGTGCTCAGAATTTCTACAGTGCGGGCGGTTTGGGAATTATCGGGAATTTTCGAAAAACTGGTTTTGAGGAGTTTTTTCAAAAACCGTTGAGCAGAAAGTCGGGCGAAAATTGCACGGGGTTGCCCTGGAAGGGGGGCACATTTTCGCAAGAGTGCCAGTTTTTGCTGGTAGGCTTTGTTTGGGGGGAAAAAATTAAAATGCGATTTTGGGCCAAAACCCCAAGGGTTTTTTGGCCTAAACCCCAAGAAGAAAATTATCGAGCAAATTTTTTTTTTGATTTTGGCAAAAAATTTTTTGCACCCCGCTTCGCAGCGCCTCAGCCAACCCTAAAGTGGGTGGAATTTTTGCAGAAAAAAATCCTAGAGGAACCAGTGGCGGGGGAATGTCAGTAGAGGCTCTAAAGGCAGCTGCAGCTTCTAATTTCTATAAAACTCTGAAAACTGCCCCAAATCGGGTAGTTTTTGTTGAAAATGACCCCAAAGGGATGCTGAACAACCAAGCAGCAGCCAGTTGGGGAACAATGCAGTGAAAACGGGAAAAACGTGCATAAAAAGCCAGATAAATAAAGTGTGTGTCGTACATCGATGGGTGATGAACCGTCGCCCTGAGGAGGGCGATTTTTCGAAACTTTTCAGAGATT